CCAATGCAGATAGAACTCATGCTTTTTAAAAATCCCAATATTTCTAACCTACATAAACATAACATTTTAGGTTCTTAAAAATTAACTTTAAACTCACAAAGTTGGGAAACAGTGTCTCCAACAACCAAGTAAAAAAAAAAACACCAAAAAACAAAACCCAACAAACCCTTTTTGTTACAGCAGGTCTGTACTTTGATATATCTCAAAACTGTCACGAACTTGAAAAAACCAGCAAACAAGGCATGGAAAGAAGAACACACCAGATTGTTTCTATTCAGCTTCCTCTCTTCCAATCAACATCTGGCTACTGGTTATTTCAAAAGCATGACCTGACCAGAAACATTACAGTCACTGAAAATCCAAAGGAGACAAGAACAGAGCCGAAACTAAAATCCATGTTTTTTCTTAATATTCAAGTGAATTCTTCTACCTGTCTTATACATTACTACTCAATTCATCTGCCAAACCACTCAGAATATTGAGCTTGGTAGTTCTGCACTGTCATACACAATTGCTAGCACAAGAGAAAAAAAACCACTTACAATGTGCAAGGGCAGGGGGGGAGAAATGTATTAAGCAACATTTGGACAAGTTTGAGCAACAGCAGTGGAAGTAGAATAGTGTGCCAGATAGTATCTCAACTATGCTGCCAGCACATGCACAACATTTTTTAGCATATGCCACCTAACCTTCAATAAGGTTTGCTAGCATTCTTTAATTCTTTTATTTTTCTTATTTTTAGAGTTATTCACACAATGAGGAATGTGAGAGGCATTCATACAGATGAAAACCTGTTTTTTGCACTACATACATAGCTTTTCCCATACAAAACATAAATTCTGTTGGATGTTCTAATGTGCTCATCTGAGCAGAAAACACACCTTTTTTGTTTTGTACAGCTGAAAAAAAGACCTTGAAGTTAAGGGTTAGTATTTCCATGCATAACTTTTTTTTATATCTGTAAACTGGAGAATTTTAAGAAAATCAGAAGCTCAAATTTCAAGGCAGAAACTAACCAATATAAATACTTAACAGGTCATATTTAAGTTAGTTACTCCATGGGTACTCTTCTCAAAAGCAGCTGGTATTTGCCAGTGTTAAACCAGGATGCCAGATTAATAAACACTGGTTCAATCCCCTATGCATTCACGTAGAACTGAGAAAGTATTTGGTAACATTACAGAGAAAGCATTAATTAGATGGGCAGTAACAATAAAGCTGTTTTTTAATGCTTTCTTCACTTCTGGAGATAAAACACACAGGAATTGTGCACTGTTCTGCTCTTGAGAACGGTTCTGGTGCCTAACAGATACTGTAGAACTTCCTTGGCTGTTTGTCACAAGTGGGAAGATGAGAAATAACTAACTTGTTCCTCCTCTTCACAAAGTTGCCACAGGACTGGGTAAAAGACCAGACAAAAGGAACCCTCCCACATGAAGCCATGAAACTGTGACCACAGCAAGAGCCAGGAAAGGGCTGGGGATGAGGGTTAAACAAAGCACTCATGCAAACACCAGGTTAAGGTCTGCCATACACATGGACTCCAGAGCAAACCAGGGATCCTCTTCTTCATCTCTCATCACCTCAGCCTACACAGTAACATTTCAGATGTCCAGCTCCTATTACCAAGCTGGATGAAGGAACATAACTGTCCTCTGGAGTAGCTGGCTACCAGACAGCAACTCTTCCCCCCAAACAAATACTGTTCCCATATGGCCTGGCTGGAGACTGTGCTGCTTCCTTTCTTTTTACTTTTTTAAGCAGGAAGTCTATTAATCTATTCATTTTATTCATATGTTGGGTGGCTGGTTCTAATGCCCTGGGATTAAACATTAGAATTTAACGTATTAGAAGCTACGTAGATACTCAAATAGTTTTCAGTGTCTTTTATGAGCAACAACCTGTTCTTTTGGGAGTTAAGTAGGTCCTGCACAGATAAAAGGCGAAGTCAATAATCTTTGCATATCCAAATGTCATTACATGCCATGCTGACTTGTTTCTATTCATAACTAGTTTTAGTCAAGAATTTTTTAACAAAGACAACTTGAAAAACTGTTTTCTTTAGAAAGCAGCTCTCATAGCTCAAATACAACTATTTCAATCTAATTATCAGCTACTGATGCATACCTGAAATGTCAATCTTGACTTTTTAATTCCTTATATTAAAAGGCCCCTTAACTAATTAAAATATTCTTTTAAAACATGCTTATGAATACTATTTTCACAAGTCTGACAATACATGTATTTCCCTCAGAGGATGATAATGTATTCGCAGTCAGAAAAAGCAACAAAGCTAGCACATTTCAAAGCTAAACAATAGCTTCATCACTAAACACCATCCTAAAACAATCTTCCTGTTTGTTTTTAAAGATAAATTTTATTTGACTGAGAATAACTTCCCATATTTTATCTAATTTTAGGATATTTATGGTGTACAACAACTGTTCCTCAGTTCAATTAAACTATGATGCCAAAAAATCCCCACCCAGAAGAATACAAGATCGCATCACTGGTCTTCTACAGCTTTGTGTTCACCGTGGGATTGTTGGTGAATGCCACTGCACTATGGGTGTTCAGCTGCACTACCAAGAAGAGAACAACTATAACTGTATATATGATGAATGTCGCATTACTTGACCTACTTTTTATATTTTCCTTGCCTTTTCGGATAATCTACCATGGGACAGAAACGTGGCCTTTTGGAGATACATTCTGCCGGATCATGGGGGCTTTCACTGTGTTTTATCCAGCCATTGCTCTGTGGCTGCTCGCTTTTATCAGCGTTGACAGATTTATGGCTATTGTCCAGCCCAAACATGTCAAAGAACTAAAAAATACAAAAAAAGCTGTGCTGGCTTGCACTGGAATCTGGATAATGACCCTCTCAACAACATCTCCACTGGTGTTTTTACGATCTGATCCAGACCAAGCCTCAAATTTCACCACCTGCATGAAAATGCTTGATATCATCCATTTAAAGGAAGTAAATACATTGAATTTTTGTCGCTTGATTTTTTTCTTTTTGATTCCCTTGTTTATCATGCTGGGGTGTTACCTAGTCATTATTTATCATTTCATTCACGGCAAGACTTCCAAACTGAAGCCTAAGGCCAAGGAGAGATCCATAAGAATTATAGTTACTCTGATTGCTCAGGTACTCATCTGCTTTGTACCCTTCCACATTTGCTTTGCCTTCCTGATGCTGCAAAATGAAAATACAATTTATAATCCCTGGGCAGCCTTTACCACCTTTCTCATGAATCTCAGTACATGCTTGGATGTTATACTGTACTACATTGTTTCCAAACAATTCCAGGCAAGAGTCATCAGTGTAATTCTGTATCGCAATTACCTTCGAAGCGTGCGCAGAAAAAGTTTTCGAACTGGAAGTGTAAGATCACTCAATAATATGAACAGTGAAATTATATAAAAAGAGAAAAAAATGTCAGGGGACTTTTACAATGTAAAAAGTGATTATTTTTCCAAATTCTGGCACTTGGCCACACAGAAGAATGTTCTCTAACCAAAGGTAACAGATACATTTGTTGCATTGTAAAAATGATAGAATCAGAATAATAATTGCATGTCTTTTTATTTGCTCAGCATCTTTTGCTGTTTCACCTGAAATGAACTAAAACCTAGCATGAGTGCTAAACTTTCCAATGCTTTTATTGCCTCAAATGACTGTGAACACTGACAGATGTTACAGTGACTATTAATAAAGTATACAACATTGAAGAATTATGATGCAATGGAGACATTATTTTTTTATATTTGTACAATCAAATGCTCCTGAAACTACTGTCTATCCCACACTTACAAAATTAACTTCATTCTCTCAAGATCAAATTTATTATGATTTAATGAGAAGGCATATGTAGGTAAAATTTATATTTTACTTAATTAAAAACTTTTTTGATTCAGATTTCTTTGTAACTGACTACATTCTGCAGTCATAAAAATACCATCAAAGGGTACAATGGTCAAACTGTTCATTACCTACTTGTGGGTATCATGTGCACACTTACGATACTTTTGCACAAAGTATCTTTTTACCCATAGGAAAACATTAATTTCTCCAGACACATTAGCAGCCTATGTCCCAGCAACAAACTCTAGGTAACAAACATGAGTAACTGCAGTAGCTACTCAAGCTTTCAAAATCTTTTGGATACTCACACACTACAAAAAACATGTCTTTACAATATCAAACATATGCTTTTAATCCCTTATAAATCAGTCTTTAGATACTTTGAACAGATGCTCTGGAAAAGTAGAAATTAAAAAAAAAGTCTAGTATAGTGTTTAATATTAAAAATCTAACTCCAAGAGCTTTTATTACTATCTCAGAGTGTACAGCAATGGAAACTCAAGTCTATGTGATCTCACCTACCAGAAGCTTAACCACAAAGGGTTGCAAGCTCTGTGGTTTTACTGTAATACACCCATCTTTTATTAAGTGCAGAAATCTCAAACATATGTTAAGCAAAATCGAACCCCTGAACACCTTAAAGCTGCAAGCATGAAATGGAGTAACAAGCTTTGGGACTCAATTTTTGAAAAACTTAGAAAATACCAATATGAAATGCATATGCATTTAAAAGTGAAAATAAAGCACATGACTTACAGTTCTGTTGCCTTTCTGATTTAAGACAGAAATTAGCACATCCTGATTCTAGTTTTTACAAATTGAATGGATCCAAACAATTTAGACTGAACAAATACAGCATTAATTTGTGAGCTGCAATCATGTTAACAGAGGAAATGAGACTAACAGATTGGAAACTAATCATTGTATGGATAAATTATAAATTAAAAACAAATCATAGCTAAGAAATAAATGTTTGAAATTACAATAGTTGTGCCAAAAACCTTTACACTTCGGTTCAAAAGAAGATTAAATCAATTTGAAGTGTTAAATGAAGAAAGGTTTTTAAATCTTCAGAAAACAACCCCTGGAAACAATATATAAAATAACCAATTCATTAAAAGCTACTTACAAACCAGAAGGCAAGCTGTTGATGGTGATGCCAAATACATACTGAGTGATTTCTACAATGAGAAGATCAAACAAAGCTGAGAGCATCCAAGCGCCCAGTAAAAAAGACTGGAAAGAAAAAGGTTAATTTGAATCAATTCAACAGTTTCAAAATAAGGTTTAAATATACCTCTAAATATAAAAAAATGAATAAGAAAACCTCTATCCTAGTTCAACTAAGACAAATTCAATCTTTAACACAACATAATTCCAGGTCTACTTGTCTAGATACTGAAGAATCAAGAGTAAGATTGTTTCCAAAATTAAATTTGATTGGTCTGAGATCTTACAACTGATACAGCTGCAAACATAAATTAGAATAATCCACTGACTGCAAGATATTATCAATATAAATTTATTAAAACCAAATTATCTTTAAAACTCTTTAACACGTATTTCTATACAACATGCTAGAAATAAAACTGCAGTATTCATCCAGGAGTACAAGACTAAATTGTATAGAAAAGTCTTTATTAAAAACCCCCAAAACTGGAACTTACTGAAAATTTTCTGCTGCCATATCTTCTTTCAAATATTCTAAAGTTGTAAATGAGCAGACTGCTGCAGAATGTGTCTTTCAAATCAAGACATATTGTTCTTCCACATACAAGTCTCCAAATCTGCAAGGTTAATGATCGACATGTTAAGCCACTCTTCCTTCAAGGAAATTCTTTACAGAATTTGTGCTCAGAGAGAATGCAATGCTGGAGTCAGGTAACAGAAATGCAGCACGGTTAAGGAGGCAAATATAGAGAGTAGAATGTTATGGAGAGTTCAAGAAGTCTCTTTAAAATATTTTCAAGGCAGATGTCTAACTGTTAAAATAAATAAACAATTGAAATTAACTCAAATACACTTTCAGGTTCCTAGTTTACACTTACAAATAAAAGTGTGACTTCCAACTGGTCAGCCCACAGCCTGTACTGGTGCATGGTGTTACTCCTCTCTGATGCAGGAGCTTGCATTTGCCTTTGCTGAACTAAGGTTCCTATCGAGCCTTTTCTCCTCCTCTGAAGGGCAGCAGAATTAACAGCTGTAACAACTACAAATCCAAGTTTTACATCACCCACAGGCTTGCTGAGAGTGCTCTGTCTACTGCCCAAGTTATGAATGAAGATACTAAAGACTACTGGCCCAATCCATTTCACTCACCATTCTCACTATTCCATGTCAACATGCCCGATTCTAAATCCTAGCCTGAGCACCACCCCTCCTGAAGTTGAGGCTGGCAGGGCTATGACATTGCAGTTGAATATTTCATGTCATGCACTAACTGAGCCACTCTGACACAGACTATGAAAGGCTTCTAGCCTTACTGCTCTTTGCTTTACCTAGCTTAAAAAATACATAGATATGATGTAATGAAGATCTGTTACACACAGCATCTTCACTGCTCTTGAGGGTCCTCTGTATGGAAACAAGGAACAGTTTTTGGACAGTAAATATTTTGCCTTCCAAATCAAATGCACTCTTCTTCAACTGTTCATTTTAATTTGTGCGCTCTCTACCAGCTTAAAGAAGTGTTAAAATCCAACATTCAAGATGTTTGTTCAGCCCCTGAAAAAAATTCCATTAAACACATTCTTGCAGGTGAATTTATTCTAAACCAATTTTCTTTTAGGAGTTATATTAGCACCAGATGGGAGTTAAACAATCTGCTCTCTCTCATCTCAGAGGTACTCAGTGATACAGTATATAACTTGCTCCAAAAGCTGTGGCAATAAGTGAAACAATCTCATGAAATAAAAAATCCAAACTCACAAATTCCCCAAAGCACCACAATAAAAGTGTCATAGCTTTTACAGATACTTGCAAGAGTTTATGGTTAAGATACAGCAGAGATGTTTTCTTTGAATAAAATGCAGCTATTACTGTTTTTCAGCAGATCAAGCAAATGGAAAGAAAGGATTCCTCTGAAGACAAATCACAAAACAAACAAATAAACAAATCCCCAAACCCACAAAATTTCATTTAAAACTTGAATAGTTTTTCAGATTTTTTCATTCCCATCCCCAAACACTTGGCTGTAACATTTTTAAAAGGCACACATTATTTATGTATTTTCACTGCACAGCATCAGCAACACACTTGAAAAATATGAGTAGTGCTCTCACAGAGTTGCCATTTATTATTACAATGAAGCCCTTGTTCTTGACAAGAAAGGCTACAGAGAGTCCAGTAGCACAGAGCAGCACTAGCTAGGTCTAATAATCTTTTAAAGCTTACAGGCTAGGCATCCTCAAAGACATTAATTTGACTATATACCTTTTGTTTGATGCAATTGTGAAATCTGTGGGGCAAGATAAACAGAGGCATTTGCTGACCCTTCTCTACTGAACAGTAGTTTGCCACTTCCAAAATTAAAAACAACCCAAAACAAATTCCCACAGAACTTCTCTAACCACTTTTAAGTGCATTATTTCAACATTTAGAGCTGATACTACAGGATCCTTAATTAAATTAAAACAAAACTTTACAAGATACAAAACCTAAAAGATAGAGTATCTTAGTTTGAAACAGGAATGAGTAAGAAATTAACCAAGTCAGACGATTACTGAGGAGCACGACAAACTCCCCCATGGAAGAGTTTGGAATTTCAAAACCTGGAATTTTCAATTTAGAAGCAGCAGTTCTATTCATTTGGCAAAGTTCAGTTTTCCGCAACTAACTACAACAGTTAGAGAATGAAAGTTACGGCTTCTGTTGCTGAAATAAATAATTTAAATCAGCATGCCTAATCAAAATAGCCCTCCTCAACCTCAACAATCAGGCACAATAAGATAATGACATTCATATCACAATATTATTAAATGGGTTAAGTCACACTTCATTCACAGCAAGTTTCCAAATGCGAATGCCTGAAAGGAAAAATTACACAAACCAAGTAATTTCCCAGACAAGAAAAAGAAGTGAAAAGCTATGTTGATTGTTTCAGATCAGTTTTTCTCATGTTTTCCAAAAAATAGCATACTGGGGTGATATAAAAATAAGTAAGAACAAGCTGGTCTACAGCAGTGAACAAAGGGGAAGAACCAGAGCACAGACTGTGGGGACAAATTGCATGGAAGACCATAGTTTGCAATCTCTTTTCATACAAAGTGAACAGACTCTTACCTGAAAATCCTCTTTTATAGCTTGTAGGTTATACGCAAAGAACTTCTGATAATGTTGGAAGAGCAGAGTCAGCAGAATCGAGATGGCACTTGGGACTAGTAACAAACTCTTTGACAAAGGCGCTTTATCTTAAAGACAAAACAAATAAACAATCAAACTATTTTAGAGAAAAGTCTTCCCCTTTCAAAAAGCGACATATTTAAACAGGTGACTGGAAGACATAATAGCAGTGACACCACCTTGACTTTTTAGCTCAACAACTTCCCAAGTTCTCAAAAACTTCTGAATAGATAGGAAGAACACACTAATCAAAGGAAATGTTTAGAAATATTAATGGCAGTTAAATACTAATGAGACATTTTGTTTCCAACATTGTCTCATGAAATTGGCTACAATTAAATGTAAGTTATTTGCACCTATAGAGGTCATGTCCTCCTATACTGCCCTCCTAAGGCCCAATTGCATTTCAGGAAATAGAACAATCACTCTTTTTTCTAGCAAAATATATGTGAACATCTAGTTAAATACTTCTGTTTCCTTTGCATTAGGGATTAAGATTAGCTTTTTCTTAGAGGCTATGAAGCAGGAACCACCAGAATAAATGGACTTTCTCACCACTGCCCTTAGATCCACCATACAAGGAAACATACCTAAGTCAATTTACATAATATTCATCTTCCTTCCATTCAATCATTAAAATTATTTGTAAAGAAATTACTAGATCAGGATGTTTGTGAAATCAGAACCTCTTTCCCTCTAGGGGCATGACTTTCAGAAAGGACACTCAGGAGAAAGCTAGCAAAGAACAGCGAAATCTGCAATACACATTTCACATTTACTAAAATATGCCAAGTAGAATATCCAGCAGGAACACAGCCAGCAATTCACCCTAACCCATTGCAGTTGATGCAATAAAACACAAACTCTTGCCAAACAACTCAAGAGACTCTGAAATATTATTTATTCTATAACTTTTCTCCTTTCCACATATGCAACATGAATCACATTTACTTCCTTTCCAAACACCTCAGCTTTGGCACAGAATCCATTCATTTTCAGACAACTGTTTTTGCAGGATACTACAAAATCCATGGCTCTGTTATCATTCTTCTTAATATAATAAAAGGAGCAATGAGATTACTTTAAAAGTACTAATGGGGAGTAAAGAGCAGGAGCACAGGAGGCACAAAACTGAATGAAACAGTGTAATACAATAAACATTTACTACCTGTCCATATTAAAGTGAATACCATGAACAATTTTTTCAACATCTGCTGTGCACTAGAAGAATGAACTGCTAGAAAAAGCAGATGGCAATAGGCACCAAAGAGAAGATTTTAATTATGACACAATCCCACTGCCATCAAAAATATGGCTCTTGCTACATAGTTTAGGCATGATCCTCATCCAAGTATTAACTGATGACATCAAGAATGACTTTGATGGGCACTGTTAGCTGTTCACCACCTTGAAGTCTGCAGTCTTCTGATGTTCACCATGTGAAAGAAACACATGTATGTGTATCATAATGAAAACTTGTACTTAAAACTATTAATTCAGTCCACACCCATAGCTTTTGAGTTCATTATTTAAACATGTAGTTTCCATTTAAGCAAGTATGGCTTTGAAGAACCATCCTTTTATAGAAATTGGGCAGTGACTTGGATTGACACAGGTTGATGCTATTATGCTAAATATAAGATCTACTTCTATGATTGTATGAGACACCCAGGCAGAAAGTCTGGTTGATTCTTCTTTTTAATGCATGAAAATCATCTACATTTCAATCTAGTATCTTTCTTTCTTTTAATTTTTTTTTTCTCTCAAAAAAAATGTCTATATTCTTTAGACATCCATTTTTTAAAAATTATTCATTCCTCTGGTTCAGTTGGGCTTTTCAAAACCATCAGAGTACTGTACAACTCTGGGGAGAAAAAAGAAGCTGGAGCTTCCTGAAAGCTACTATGCAGACAATGCATATCAAAACAGCAAACATTTCTGAAACAAAGTTTGATTAAAATTGTTATCTTACTATCAAATGCATTTACATTATTTCATTAATTTTAAGACATTTTCACAAGAACTTATTAATCCTATAAAACTTTTTACCTAAGGATCACATTACCACAAACACACATGACAGACAACAAAGTCCCTAGATATCCCATTGTGACTGTATTTTTCTATATAGGTTTAATATATAAATTTTACTGCAATTTTTTTATTGTTAGATCATTTTTACATTACAGGTAATATACACTTGAAATACTTTATCCTATCAAGCTAATTCCTAATTTGAATGCTTTTAAAAATAACCAACAGAACCTTATCTGTTTTCTCCAGAAGTGTGAACACACATTTTTATTTAGAGCCTCCTTTTAGCTTTCAACTTAGACACTTTAAACCCTGATACAGAGGAAAAGCACTTATTATTAGACATGTCATCAAGTGAAAAACCACAGAAGCAACTAAACCATGAATCTGACTGTCACCCAGAGGGAACATCGTGTGAGTGATGGAAACTTCTACTCTCCAGCTTCTCATAACGTCATCATGGTTGAGAAGTTTATTCTTGTCAGGTGAAGTCGAAAAATATAATAATACATCCTCTGAAATTCTTTTTCCAAGTGCACAGTGCAGCAGTTTGTTCTGTCCCTCAGCAGCATTAGATCCTTCTCAAGGACGGCTGTGAGGTCACGGGGAAGGAGCAACCCACCCAATGCTGTGGAATGCCTCAACCACGTCAGACCAAAAATCACAAGCAGTACCAGATTTTGCACAATTGGGCATTCTGACTTCCAAGTCAAATTGCTTATTTACAATGCAAAGGTAAAATTTAGAAAGTAGAATTCTAATCTAATGAATGTGTGACCATGCGTGAGATGGAAATAGTTACCACAAACCTACCAGGGCACCAGTCTGCTGGCAGCATACATGCAAATGTGCTCAAGAAGGAGAAAACACACTTCATACCACATAGAGAAAGAAGAAGGAGAGGATAAACACTCATTTTGACCTTGAAAGTTAAAATATATCAAATACTGTCTTCAAAAATCTTGGAATATATTTGCAATCCCAAAGTACTCCTTAAGTGGAATTTCTTTCGCCTCCACTACAGATCTTTGCTTCTGCCTGGTGCAATGGAGAAGTTCTCCCCAAAAACTGCCCTCATCATCTCATGGGCAAGTGTCCCAGCCCGCATACCAAGTATGCAATGCAAAGTTGATCCTAAAATGTCACACAAATGACAAAACCACTTCTAAGCCTCCACATTCCACCCCTGCACTTTTTACAAAGCCCACAGATCCTCTTCTTCCACAACCTACTACGCTGCTGGCTGCCAATGCCTCTTTTAAAGTATAGAGAGTAAAGGATACAAGTGTCCATCTGTCACAAACAGAGGGGGAGGTTTATGGCACAGCTGCCAGAGTTGCAGCTTCAGCAATCACCGCTGCACTAATGACAAGAATGAGAAGCCACAGCAGCTACAGTTTTTGTCCCTGCCTGTTCACTACTCACTGGTGAAGAGACAGCAGATGGGCATAGCAAAACAGGCAGCCAGACCAAGCTTCTGTTGCAGAAGAGCCCTTGCAGGAACAACTTCATCCCCGGGACTGCTATTCCAGGCTCAAGATTCAAGTGTTGACTTGGGAGAGGATCTCATTGCCAGCTGATGTGAAGTGATGAGCCAGCTGATGAGCAGTGGCTGCAGAAGCTCAAATTAGCTCAGGGCAATTTCTGTGGGGATCCCTACTGAGCTTACACCACAGCTGCAGACAAAACATGCTGTGTAACAACTCTTTTTTTCCACTATCATCTGCAACTTTCCCAAGCCCAGCTGGTGTAAGGCAGGCATGTCACTTTCAAACAGACAATTAACTGCTGGGGGCTACTATAGTGGCACGAAATACCCACAAACCAATTTTTAAATGTTTATACACAAGATCTGTGAATTAAACTGTAACTGATATGCATCTGAATGCACAGTACTTCCAAAATGCACTTACAGAATCTGCATTTTGGGTGGTTGTTTTTCCTGCACTAAAGCATCATGCAGATAATAATCTATTGTATTCCAAGACCTGTCCAATAACCTGCAGCAGGCTCACCAGCCATCAGAGATGTTTGTTTGCAAGTGAAAACAGAGTATCACTGCAGGAACAGTTTTTCACCAAATGCTTCTAAATTCAATCCAGAAGCTGAGAGGTGAATAATGCTAGTATTAAGCAAGTTAATAGAGAAACCTGTGATCATGTTTTAAATCTGTTTTCTAAAGGCACAGGTAAGACTGTAATTAAACCACTTGCCTATACATTTACTGCTTAGAAAACTGCTAGGTGTAGCTTAGGTCAAAAACTATTTAAAAAAAAAAAAAAGAAGACGCAAAAAGAAAAAAAAATAAAACCTTTGTTTATAAAAGCAACATTTGAAATAGAAATTGAATCAAGTTGAAAGTAACAAAAATATTCACTCCATTCAGCAGACTTTTCTTCCTTCCAACCAGAGAGCCATGTTACCATACTACTTTTAGTGTACACTGTCAGAAATATCAGGTATGGCTACAAAAGACTGACCATGTGGACACCCCCAGATGAGCTTGAAATTAAATGAACTAGCTGTGCAGAAGCAGAATAGACAGAGTTTTGTGGTCTTCAATGCTATGCTGCTCCCAGGGCTCAAGCTAACCAGGCTGCATTGTGGCATGCTGATGTACAAGCTAATTTGCTTTCCCATACAGAACTGTACTGCATAATACTGTAATGCATAAAAGTCTTATGTATTCAGTACATGCTTCATTTTTCCTTCACTCATACCACAAAGCATTAATTTACATAGCTTTATTATTTTCCTGACGCCTCTGCACAACAGAGTTCAGTCCTGCCAGTTATGCAAGCAGAGGAGCACAGAGATCCCTTCTTGCCTTGGGGATTTTTAACAATTTGCTACCACTGCACTACAAGGTTCACAGAGGTAAAAGCCTAAGTTGCACTAGGGAGTTCAAAGGGTTCTCCTCGCTCCTACTACAAGAAATAGCTTGTGTGCACCAGTCAAAGTAGTCAAATATTTTCCAGATGTAACAAGTGTATATGCTTTAAAAGAATGACTCAAATTTTACCCTAATAATGACTAACTCTTAATAGGCTTTCCTGCTAGACTCCTGTGCAGTACATAAACAGCACAAAGAATATTGTGAGGGAATATTACAGTATCTGCAGAAAGATTTCATGTTGGTCTAACTGGTTTAAACTGTTGGTAAAGGCTGTTGTGTCTTATAATGGAAAGCCTTCCTGTGTATCATACTTTGCTCCTGGGATGCAGCCTCCTGGCAAACAGCACTAGAGTAAAGCAAACAGCCAGGCCATTCACACACTCATGTGAGCCTTTGCAGAACTGCTCAAGTGTTTCAGCAGCATTGTTCACGGGACAGAAGCTGCCAGCAGACTGCAACAGAAGCAACCAGCCTGGGTCTGGCACCACAGCCCACCTCTCAAGCACACCTAAAGCCAGGTGCTGCCAGGATGGTCACTGAACACACTGCAGTGCTCTTTGACAAGTCAGCTCAACTGAGTTAGTGCTCTGATAAGCCAATAGCATATGTCTGTGCTGTGTCTCCTGCTAGTATCCAGAGCCACTGGCTCTTTTTTCCAGAGCATACCAGCTCCTCCAATATTCCAGATAACAGAAACAGTTTCCACAGCAAGGGCAAACTGTCTTTGTCCTTTTAAAAGGTGGTGTCCTTTGTTTCCTGGCTTCCCTATCTCAAAGTTGTACCATGTACCAGGTATGTTTATTTTTACATTTACATCTCCTTGTCCCAACATTACAGACGTCAATCAGTCTGTCAGAGATGGCACAGCAGGCTGCAGGAGCCTTCAGTGTGACCTAGTATGATCATTGTTACTGCTGCTGAACCAGGTGTCCACTTATTTTATTCAGGGTCACTGATACAGGTCCCATTATCCACCAACATTGCCTTCTGCCAAAGGTTACCAAGCCCCAGGGGCAGAACACACATGTACAGTTCCCTGGTGCAACATCAGCCAACAATTCATTAATTACCCGAACCATCAGACTCAGTGCATCAGTGACAGAATCCCACACACCTGCTGCTACTGCAGCAACTTTTGCTACACACACAGAAACAAGTCTGAGGGCACAGGGACACCTGCAACTGCCACAGTCATGCCCTAGGTGAGCATACGTCACTGCACTTAAATCCATGCCTCCACTGGAGTTTGTCAGTGCACCTGTACCAGCCAATTCTTATTGTAAAAAAAAAGACACTTCAGGTCCACAGGTAAGTTCAGTAAGAACTGAAAGATTAGCTTTTGAGAAGGAAAAATAAAAGTACAACACTGAGCTGTGTCAGGAAAGGTTTAGGTTAGAAAGGCTCTTTACTTAGAGAGTGACCAGGCACTGGAACAGGCTCCCCAGTGAAGTGGTCACAGCACCAGCCTTACACAGTTCAAGAATTGGACAATGCTCGCAGGCACATGGTGTGTGATTCTTGTGCTGTCCTGTGCAGGGCCAGAAGTTGGACTTTAGATAATCCTTTTCCAGATCAGGCTATTCTATGATTCTATGATTTTCTTTCTGCAGAATAACATATTGTCTAAGTTTCTTCCCTACCACAAATATGTTTCTTATGACAACCATTTCCCACTCATCCTTTTGATGGACCAAACCTGGAAAAACTTGTAAATACTGACCATGACTTTCCACTCATTCAGCCTAAAAAGGATACTCTTCCTCCTACATTCTTTCTCATAGAATTATACACAGACACAAGCCATTGAAAAGCCACTCTACAGTATCTACTGTGGGGCACAGGGAGGGATGAAAAATCAGGAGCTGCAAATCAAGGTAGAGTATTATCAGATCCCACTGAAAAAACACTCTTACCTTCTTTGGATTCCTCATACAAAATGTATTGCTACAACTAATACCCCTTCTTAAATGCCAGAATTATTCCCCCTAGTCAGAGGGTGCTTTCACACTCAAACATATTTCACAGAATCAATTAAGTTGGAAAAGACCTCTGAGATCAAGTCCAACCTGTGACCGAACACCATCTCGTTAACAAGACCATGGCACTGAGTGCTACATTCCAGTCTTTTCTTAAACACCTCCAGGACAGTGATTCCACCACCTCCTTGGGCAGCCCATTCCAGTATCTAATTATCCTTTCTGTACAGAAATTCTTCACAATATCCAACCTGAGCCTCCCCTGGTACAGCTTGATGCTAAGTCCTCTCATCTTGTCCTGTCACTGGTTACCTGGGAGAAGAGGCCAACCCCCACTTTGCTTCCTTTCAGGTATTTGTAAAGATTGATAAGATCTTCCCCGAACCTCCCTTTCTCTAGGCAAAATAACCCTAGCTCCCTCACCCACTCCTCATAGGACATGCATTCCAGAGGCTTCATCAGTTTCACTGTCCTTCTCTGGACATGTGACAGCACCCTGATGTCCTTCCTAAATTGAGGGGCACAGACCTGGACACAGTGTCCAAGGTGTGTCT